GCAACACCAGGACAAGGAACACTGCTGTGTTCAACACACACCTGCAACACCAGGACAAGGAACACAGCTGTGTTCAACACACACCTGCAACACCAGAACAAGGAACACTGCTGTGTTCAACACACACCTGCAACACCAGGACACGAGGGGAGACAAGAGAGGTACACAAGCACACGAGGGGAGACAAGAGTGGTACACAAGCACACGAGGGGAGACAAGAGAGGTACACAAGCACACGAGGGGAGACAAGAGAGGTACACAAGCACACGAGGGGTGACAAGAGAGGTACACAAGCACACGAGGGGTGACAAGAGAGGTACACAAGCACACGAGGGGTGACAAGAGAGGTACACAAGCACACGAGGGGAGACAAGAGTGGTACACAAGCACACGAGGGGTGACAAGAGAGGTACACAAGCACACGAGGGGAGACAAGAGTGGTACACAAGCACACGAGGGGAGACAAGAGAGGTACACAAGCACACGAGGGGAGACAAGAGTGGTACACAAGCACACGAGGGGTGACAAGAGAGGTACACAAGCACACGAGGGGAGACAAGAGAGGTACACAAGCACACGAGGGGAGACAAGAGTGGTACACAAGCACACGAAGGGTGACAAGAGAGGTACACAAGCACACGAGGGGTGACAAGAGTGGTACACAAGCACACGAGGGGTGACAAGAGAGGTACACAAGCACACGAGGGGAGACAAGAGAGGTACACAAGCACACGAGGGGAACCACTAGAGGGAACCATCAGCTGGTGACCACTACCAAGACAGGTGGAGAGGTAACACTGAGTGATAGGTAAACAGGTGAAGAGTTAACAAAAGATTACAAGTGGTCTTCAGAGTGGAGGTGTAACAGGTCCTTGAGGCTAGGCTGAGTAGAGGGGTAGTGACAGAGAGAGAGGTCAGGGACCACCACCAGGGACTGTGTAGTGACAGAGAGGTCAGGGACCACCACCAGGGACTGTGTAGTGACAGAGAGGCCAGGGACCACCACCAGGGACTGTGTAGTGACAGAGAGGCCAGGGACCACCACTAGGGACTGTGTAGTGACAGAGAGAGAGGTCAGGGACCACCACCAGGGACTGTGTAGTGACAGAGAGGTCAGGGACCACCACCAGGGACTGTGTAGTGACAGAGAGAGAGGTCAGGGACCACTACCAGGGACTGTGTAGTGACAGAGAGAGAGGTCAGGGACCACCACCAGGGACTGTGTAGTGACAGAGAGGTCAGGGACCACCACCAGGGACTGTGTAGTGACAGAGAGGCCAGGGACCACCACCAGGGACTGTGTAGTGACAGAGAGAGAGGTCAGGGACCACCACCAGGGACTGTGTAGTGACAGAGAGAGAGGTCAGGGACCACCACCAGGGACTGTGTAGTGACAGAGAGAGAGGTCAGGGACCACCACCAGGGACTGTGTAGTGACAGAGAGAGAGATCAGGGACCACCACCAGGGACTGTGTAGTGACAGAGAGAGAGATCAGGGACCACCACCAGGGACTGTGTAGTGACAGAGAGAGAGGTCAGGGACCACCACCAGGGACTGTGTAGTGACAGAGAGAGAGGTCAGGGACCACCACCAGGGACTGTGTAGTGACAGAGAGAGAGGTCAGGGACCACCACCAGGGACTGTGTAGTGACAGAGAGAGAGATCAGGGACCACCACCAGGGACTGTGTAGTGACAGAGAGAGAGGTCAGGGACCACCACCAGGGACTGTGTAGTGACAGAGAGAGAGGTCAGGGACCACCACCAGGGACTGTGTAGTGACAGAGAGAGAGGTCAGGGACCATCACCAGGGACTGTGTAGTGACAGAGAGAGAGATCAGGGACCACCACCAGGGACTGTGTAGTGACAGAGAGAGAGATCAGGGACCACCACCAGGGACTGTGTAGTGACAGAGAGAGAGGTCAGGGACCACCACCAGGGACTGTGTAGTGACAGAGAGAGAGGTCAGGGACCACCACCAGGGACTGTGTAGTGACAGAGAGAGAGGTCAGGGACCACCACCAGGGACTGTGTAGTGACAGAGAGAGAGGTCAGGGACCACCACCAGGGACTGTGTAGTGACAGAGAGGTCAGGGACCACCACCAGGGACTGTGTAGTGACAGAGAGGTCAGGGACCACCACCAAGGACTGTGTAGTGACAGAGAGAGATCAGGGACCACCACCAGGGACTGTGTAGTGACAGAGAGAGAGATCAGGGACCACCACCAGGGACTGTGTAGTGACAGAGAGAGAGGTCAGGGACCACCACCAGGGACTGTGTAGTGACAGAGAGAGAGGTCAGGGACCACCACCAGGGACTGTGTAGTGACAGAGAGAGAGGTCAGGGACCACCACCAGGGACTTTGTAGTGACAGAGAGGTCAGGGACCACCACCAGGGACTGTGTAGTGACAGAGAGGTCAGGGACCACCACCAGGGACTGTGTAGTGACAGAGAGAGATCAGGGACCACCACCAGGGACTGTGTAGTGACAGAGAGAGAGATCAGGGACCACCACCAGGGACTGTGTAGTGACAGAGAGAGAGGTCAGGGACCACCACCAGGGACTGTGTAGTGACAGAGAGAGAGGTCAGGGACCACCACCAGGGACTGTGTAGTGACAGAGAGAGAGGTCAGGGACCACCACCAGGGACTGTGTAGTGACAGAGAGAGAGGTCAGGGACCACCACCAGGGACTGTGTAGTGACAGAGAGAGAAGTCAGGGACCACCACCAGGGACTGTGTATTGACAGAGAGGTCAGGGACCACCACCATGGGCTGTGTAGTGACAGAGAGGTCAGGGACCACCACCAGGGACTGTGTAGTGACATAGAGGTCAGGGACCACCACCAGGGACTGTGTAGTGACAGAGAGGTCAGGGACCACCACCAGGGACTGTGTAGTGACAGAGAGAGAGATCAGGGACCACCACCAGGGGCTGTGTAGTGACAGAGAGGTCAGGGACCAACACCAGAGACTCACCCCCATCAATACACCCCCACCAATACACTCTCACCAATACACCCCCACCAATACACCCCACCAATACACCCCACCAATACACCCCACCAATACACCCCATCAATACACCCCACCAATACACCCCCACCAATACACCCTCACCAATACACCCCCACCAATACACCCCACCAATACACCCCCACCAATACACCCCACCAATACACCCCCATCAATACACCCCCAACAATACACCCCACGAATACACCCCCACGAATACACCCCCACCAATACACCCCACCAATACACCCCACCAATACACCCCCACCAATACACCCCACCAATACACCACCACCAATACACCAACACCAATACATCCCCACCAATACACCCCCACCAATACACCCCCACCAATACACCCCACCAATACACCATCGCCAATACACCTCCACCAATACACCCCCATCAATACACCCCCCACCAATATACCCCCACCAATACACCCCCACCAATACACCTCCACCAATACACCCCACCAATACACCTCCACCAATACACCCCCACCAATACACCCCTACCGATACACCCCACCAATACACCTCCACCAATACACCCCCACCAATACACCCCCACCAATGCACCCCCACCATTACATCCCCATCATTACATCCCCACCAATACACCCCCACCAATACACCTCCACCAATACACCCCCCACCAATACACCCCACCAATACACCCCCCACCAATACACCCCCCACCAATACACCCCCACCAATGCACCCCCACCATTACATCCCCACCAATACACCCCCCACCAATACACCCCCATCAATACACCCCCACCAATACACCCCACCAATACACCTCCACCAATACACCCCCACCAATACACCCCACCAATACACCTCCACCAATACACCCCCACCAATACACCCCCACCAATACACCCCACCAATACACCCCACCAATACACCCCACCAATACACCTCCACCAATACACCCCACCAATACACCCCACCAATACACCCCCATCAATACACCCCCACCAATACACCCCACCAATACACCCCCACCAATACACCCCACCAATACACCCCCACCAATACACCCCACCAATACACCCCACCAATACACCCCCACCAATACACCCCACCAAAACACCCCCACCAATACACCCCACCAATACACCCCCACCAATACACCCCACCAATACACCCCACCAATACACCCCACCAATACACCCCCACCAATACACCCCACCAATACACCTCCACCAATACACCCCCACCAATACACCCCTACCAATACACCCCACCAATACACCCCCACCAATACACCCCACCAATACACCCCCACCAATACACCTCCACCAATACACCCCACCAATACACCCCACCAATACACCCCACCAATACACCCCCACCAATACACCCCCACCAATACACCTCCACCAATACACCCCCACCAATACACCCCCACCAATACACCTCCACCAATACACCCCCATCTGTTATCATTCGATGCATTTATGTATTAACAATAAACATTTTTACTCTTTGAAACTCGAATGTTACACACGAGCACCTGAGATACAATAATAAAAGCTAATAGTGTGATTCATTATCCCTGGCCACACTGCTTCTTAAGAGGCATATATAAGCCTTCTATAATTTTCATTCAATCCTTGTTTGAAAACATTTACTTTATTCCACTTTTCTTTATCATTTCCGATTATCTATGTCTCGCATGCACCTTGAACATCAGTCTTTCCATGTTTGTAAGTTTCATCACGTTAACTTGTGATGGTGATGCACTCCTACACCTCACAGCCTTGTGAACCTGCCCCTCGTGGCCGGGACCTGGCCAGGCGTGAGCCCTAGGTACCAGGCTAGTGTTGCCTTTAGCATGACTCTGTGTAACTCCTCCTCTCACTACAAGTGTACATTACTCTCATGTTCTTTGTACACACATTCTTTTGAATAAGAATTGATCAATGTTATTATCATTATTCCTTAACACAGCTCTCACATGTGCCACAGGAGCAACGAGGAGATTATGGAGATGATCCGGAACGGGGAGCACAGCGACATAGGCGCCGAGAAGCTGCGGGGACTGCTCAAGATCCTGCCGGAGGCCGACGAGATGGACATGCTCAGGAATTTCGACGGTGACCGCACCAAGCTGGGCAGTGCTGAGAAGTTCCTGATGATGCTGCTGGAAGTCCCACAGTGAGTCCCATGACCCCCTGACCATAGTTGCTGACCATAGCTGACCGTCCCTCAGTGAGTCCCTAGAGCTAGGGCCCCTGACCAGTGTGGCTGACCATAGGTGCTGATGCTGCTGACCGTCCCTCAGTGAGTCCCTAGAGCTAGGGCCCCTGACCAGTGTGGCTGACCATAGGTGCTGATGCTGCTGACCGTCCCTCAGTGAGTCCCTAGAGCTTGGGCCCCTGACCAGTGTGGCTGACCATAGGTGCTGATGCTGCTGACCGTCCCTCAGTGAGTCCCTAGAGCTAGGGCCCCTGACCAGTGTGGCTGACCATAGGTGCTGATGCTGCTGACTGTCCCACAGGATAATATTGGGGAAAATAATAGATATTATGAAAACTCTTAAGATACTCTTGCAGTGATGAGTCTCTACTGTTGAGTGATAGTATTATTCTAAATTCTAAATAATCCATCAAATTTTCTCAACCTATTAGACCAAAATCCAATACCAAACACAATATCACTATAACCGCGGCAGATTCAACCCAAAATCTCTGTAACTCTTGCAAATTCAACCAAAAATTACTGTAATGCCCTCAAATTCAACCGAGAACTACTGTAACGCCTGCAAATTCAACCCAAAATCACTAACCCCCTGCAAATTCAACCAAAAATCACTATAACGCCGGGAAATTCAGTAAAAAATCTCTAACCTTCTTCAAATTCAACCAAAAATCACTGTAACCTTTGTAAAATCAATCTAAAATCACTGTAACACCTGCAAAATCAACCTAAAATCACTGTAACACCTGCAAACTCAACCAAAAATCACTGTAACACCTGCAAAATCAACCAAAAATCACTGTAACACCTGCAAAATCAACAAAAAATCACTGTAACACCTGCAAAATCAACCAAAAATCACTGTAACACCTGCAAAATCAACCAAAAATCACTGTAACACCTGCAAAATCAACCACAACTCTTCTTGGCCTCACCGTGTTTCACTCTCAGATAAGAATAACCCTCATCTTTTGCCTTCGAGCCTGGCCGTAGGCTGGGCTGGGAAGAACTCCCGGAACCCCTCTCCAGGTATGCCTTTGCCCATATAAAAGTTCACTACGACTCTCTCTCATCCTCCCAGTCAAATTCCCACCTGAGGAGACCTCATTTCAGCAGCCTCTTTCTCCTGACATCTCGGCTAGGTACAAGCTGAGGATCGAAGCCATGCTGCTGAAGGAGGAGTTCGAGTCGACCATGGACCAGATCGAGCCCTCTATCAACGCCTTCCTCTACGCCGGGAGGGACCTGCTCGCCAACCCCCACCTGCAGGAGGTCCTCTACATGGTCCTCGTCGCCGGCAACTTCCTCAATAGTGTGAGTAGTTGGCTGCCAGTAGGTGTGTGTGTGTAAGAGCTTAGTTTGTGTGTAAGATCTCATTATGTGTGTCTGCAAGATCTCGTAGAGTGGGTGCGCGCAAGATCTCAAAGTGTGTGTGTATGTAAGCTCTCAGAGTGTACTTACCTACTTGTACTTACCTAATTGTGCTTGCGGGGGTTGAGCTCTGGCTCTTTGGTCCCGCCTCTCAACCGTCAATCAACAGGTGTACAGGTTCCTGAGCCTATTGGGCTCTATCATATCTACACTTGAAACTGTGTATGGAGTCAGCCTCCACCACATCACTTCCTAATGCATTCCATTTGTCAACTACTCTGACACTAAAAAAATTCTTTCTAATATCTCTGTGGCTCATTTGGGAACTCAGTTTCCACCTGTGTCCCCTAGTGCGTGTGCCCCTTGTGTTAAATAGCCCGTCTTTATCTACCCTGTCAATTCCTCTGAGAATCTTGTATGTATGTGTGTAAGATCTCAGAGTGTGTGTTTGTGTTTAAGATCTCAGAGACCGTTTTTTAAGATGATAGTGTGTGTTTGAGGTCCTTGAGGGTGTGTTTAGGATGTAGGTGTTGAGCAAGGACGTAACGTGCTGTGGTGTGCCTTAACAGGGAGGGTACGCCGGGAACGCCGCCGGCATGAAGCTTTCCTCGCTCCACAAGCTGACTGACATCAGAGCCAACAAGCCTGGCATGACTCTTCTCCACTATGTTGTTCAGGTATGTCAGTAGTATTGACCTACTCCCACTGGAGGATTATTAGTCTCTCTCTCTCTCTCTCTCTCTCTCTCTCTCTCTCTCTCTCTCTCTCTCTCTCTCTGCTCTCTCTCTCTCTCTCTCTCTCTCTCTCTCTCTCTCTCTCTCTCTCTCTCTCTCTCTCTCTCTCTCTCTCTCTCTCTCTCTTCTCTCTCTCTCTCTCCTCTCTCTCTCTCTCTCTCTCTCTCTCTCTCTCTCTCTCTCTCTCTCTCTCTCTCTCTCTCTCTCTCTCTCTCTCTCTCTCTCTCTCTCTCTCTCTCTCTCTCTCTCTCTCTCTCTCTCTCTCTCTCTCTCTCTCTCTCTCTCTCTCTCTCCTCTCTCTCTCTCTCTCTCTCTCTCTCTCTCTCTCTCTCTCTCTCTCTCTCTCTCTCTCTCTCTCTCTCTCTCTCTCTCTCTCTCTCTCTCTCTCTCTCTCTCTCTCTCTCTCTCTCTCTCTCTCTCTCTCTCTCTCTCTCTCTCTCTCTCTCTCTCTCCTCTCTCTCTCTCTCTCTCTCTCTCTCTCTCTCTCTCTCTCTCCTCTCTCTCTCTCTCTCTCTCTCTCTCTCTCTCTCTCTCTCTCTCTCTCTCTCTCTCTCTCTCTCTCTCTCTCTCTCTCTCTCTCTCTCTCTCTCTCTCTCTCTCTCTCTCTCTCTCTCTCTCTCTCTCTCTCTCTCTCTCTCCTCTCTCTCTCTCTCTCTCTCTCTCTCTCTCTCTCTCTCTCTCTCTCTCTCTCTCTCTCTCTCTCTCTCTCTCTCTCTCTCTTTTAAACTAAGACTAGGATTCATAAGGGATGCCTAATAACATACCTACTGAAACTGCAAGCAAGAGCTGTTATCCAACCTCAGCTCATTTGAAGCCTGCTCCTAGAGACTCATTTATTTAATGAGAATGTTCTTTAAAACTAGGTATCACATAGGGAACTATCATAAAGGGACTATGATATAAGGAACCTGGTGAAACTGCAAGCAAGAGCCTATTTAGAGGCCTATTTGTTTCATGAGCCTTTTATATCCATCAATAGGAAAAACTTTATTCAGTAACAACATTAGATAATAATCATATGAGGATGAGCCTGTAGCCAACTGTGTGCCAGAGCCTTCGTGTGATCAGTTGACCTGATCTCCCGTGTGTCAACCTGTTGAGCGAACAAGTTCCAGATGCGAGTCAGCCTCGGAGTGAATGATTGCTGATGGAGTGATGTTCTTGAGAATGTCACTTCCAGCATGAGACTGTTGAAGGTTGAGAGCCTAGTGCTACGGCTGGCAACTACTGGTTGTCCACGGAGTTGGGCCAGGTGCGGAACTTTGAGATTGTTGGCCTTGAACGTAACACCAACGTCCCGACGGTGTTGCAGGTTCTGATGTTCAGACCGTTCCCACCAGACTTGGTCAAGACTAGAGATGAGCCTTCTGGCCCGTCTCTTCACTTTGTCCAACAGTCTGATGAATGAGGGAGGGAGGGGGAGGGGGGGGCAGGCGATCCAGGAAAGGGATACATACTCTAGATGAGAGCGAACTTGTGCTTCATATAAGGTATTGCAGCCCTTGCTGTCAAGAAGGTGTGAGATGCGCCGTAGAGCTGTAAGTTTCCTGGCTGATAGGCGGGCAGGAGTGTGTGTGCATATCTATATATATATATATAGATATATATATATATATATATATATATATATATATATATATATATATATATATATATATATATATATATATATATATATATATATATATATACACTGGTTGGTCAGTATTGTGGTGGCCTTACCAACCCTATCTGAGCAGCCCCACACTGTGGCAGGGTATGGCTGAGGCCCCGCCAACATAACCAAGCAGTTCAGGCTCATACTGTGTTTTTTTATGTTTATTAATCTCTTGAATGTTCATTTATTCATTTATTTAATGTACTGTAGTTTGCTTCTTAGTGTTAAATATGTATTATAATGTGTATATTGTTGGGCAGCAAGCGGAGAGGCGGGACCCAGAGCTGCTCAAGTTCCCGGACGAGATGCCCTGTCTCGAGGAGGCCACCAAGTGAGTAGGTCTACTGTTATATTGTATACCCACTCCCTCACACTCCTGTGTACTCTCTAGTGTGACGTAGTGTACCATACCCACTCCCTCACACTCCTGTGTACTCTCTAGTGTGACGTACTGTACCATACCCACTCCCTCACACTCCTGTGTACTCTCTAGTGTGACGTACTGTACCATACCCACTCCCTCACACTCCTGTGTACTCTCTAGTGTGACGTACTGTATCATACCCACTCCCTCACACTCCTGTGTGCTCTCTAGTGTGACGTACTGGACCATACCCACTCCCTCACACTCCTGTGTGCTCTCTAGTGTGACGTACTGGACCATACCCACTCCCTCACACTCCTGTGTACTCTCTAGTGTGACGTACTGGACCATACCCACTCCCTCACACTCCTGTGTACTCTCTAGTGTGACGTAGTGTACCATACCCACTCCCTCACACTCCTGTGTACTCTCTAGTGTGACGTACTGTATCATACCCACTCCCTCACACTCCTGTGTACTCTCTAGTGTGACGTACTGGACCATACCCACTCCCTCACACTCCTGTGTGCTCTCTAGTGAGACGTACTGGACCATACCCACTCCCTCACACTCCTGTGTACTCTCTAGTGTGGCGTACTGGACCATACCCACTCCCTCACACTCCTGTGTACTCTCTAGTGTGGCGTACTGGACCATACCCACTCCCTCACACTCCTGTGTACTCTCTAGTGTGACGTACTGGACCATACCCACTCCCTCACACTCCTGTGTACTCTCTAGTGTGGCGTACTGGACCATACCCACTCCCTCACACTCCTGTGTACTCTCTAGTGTGACGTACTGGACCATACCCACTCCTGTGTACTCTCTAGTGTGACGTACTGGACCATACCCACTCCCTCACACTCCTGTGTACTCTCTAGTGTGACGTACTGGACCATACCCACTCCCTCACACTCCTGTGTACTCTCTAGTGTGACGTAGTGTACCATACCCACTCCCTCACACTCCTGTGTACTCTCTAGTGTGACGTACTGGACCATACCCACTCCCTCACACTCCTGTGTACTCTCTAGTGTGGCGTAGTGTACCATACCCACTCCCTCACACTCCTGTGTACTCTCTAGTGTGGCGTACTGGACCATACCCACTCCCTCACACTCCTGTGTACTCTCTAGTGTGACGTACTGTACCATACCCACTCCCTCACACTCCTGTGTACTCTCTAGTGTGGCGTAGTGTACCATACCCACTCCCTCACACTCCTGTGTACTCTAGTGTGACGTACTGTATCATACCCACTCCCTCACACTCCTGTGTACTCTCTAGTGTGACGTACTGTACCATACCCACTCCCTCACACTCCTGTGTACTCTCTAGTGTGGCGTACTGTACCATACCCACTCCCTCACACTCCTGTGTACTCTCTAGTGTGGCGTACTGTACCATACCCACTCCCTCACACTCCTGTGTACTCTCTAGTGTGACGTACTGGACCATACCCACTCCCTCACACTCCTGTGTACTCTCTAGTGTGACGTACTGTACCATACCCACTCCCTCACACTCCTGTGTACTCTCTAGTGTGACGTACTGGACCATACCCACTCCCTCACACTCCTGTGTACTCTTCTAGTGTGACGTACTGTATCATACCCACTCCCTCACACTCCTGTGTACTCTCTAGTGTGACGTACTGGACCATACCCACTCCCTCACACTCCTGTGTACTCTCTAGTGTGGCGTACTGTATCATACCCACTCCCTCACACTCCTGTGAACTCTCTAGTGTGGCGTACTGTACCATACCCACTCCCTCACACTCCTGTGTACTCTCTAGTGTGACGTACTGGACCATACCCACTCCCTCACACTCCTGTGTACTCTTCTAGTGTGACGTACTGTATCATACCCACTCCCTCACACTCCTGTGTACTCTCTAGTGTGGCGTACTGTACCATACCCACTCCCTCACACTCCTGTGTACTCTTCTAGTGTGACGTACTGTATCATACCCACTCCCTCACACTCCTGTGTACTCTCTAGTGTGACGTACTGGACCTTACCCACACCCCTCACACTCCTGTGTACTCTCTAGTGTGACGTACTGGACCATACCCACTCCCTCACACTCCTGTGTACTCTCTAGTGTGGCGTACTGTACCATACCCACTCCCTCACACTCCTGTGTACTCTCTAGTGTGGCGTACTGTACCATACCCACTCCCTCACACTCCTGTGTACTCTCTAGTGTGGCGTACTGTACCATACCCACTCCCTCACACTCCTGTGTACTCTCTAGTGTGACGTACTGTATCATACCCACTCCCTCACACTCCTGTGTACTCACTAGTGTGACGTACTGTACCATACCCACTCCCTCACACTCCTGTGTACTCTCTAGTGTGGCGTACTGTACCATACCCACTCCCTCACACTCCTGTGTACTCTTCTAGTGTGACGTACTGTACCATACCCACTCCCTCACACTCCTGTGTGCTCTCTAGTGTGACGTACTGGACCATACCCACTCCCTCACACTCCTGTGTGCTCTCTAGTGTGACGTACTGGACCATACCCACTCCCTCACACTCCTGTGTGCTCTCTAGTGTGACGTACTGGACCATACCCACTCCCTCACACTCCTGTGTACTCTCTAGTGTGACGTAGTGTACCATACCCACTCCCTCACACTCCTGTGTACTCTCTAGTGTGACGTACTGGACCATACCCACTCCCTCACACTCCTGTGTGCTCTCTAGTGTGACGTACTGGACCATACCCACTCCCTCACACTCCTGTGTGCTCTCTAGTGTGACGTACTGGACCATACCCACTCCCTCACACTCCTGTGTACTCTCTAGTGTGACGTAGTGTACCATACCCACTCCCTCACACTCCTGTGTACTCTCTAGTGTGACGTACTGGACCATACCCACTCCCTCACACTCCTGTGTACTCTCTAGTGTGACGTAGTGTACCATACCCACTCCCTCACACTCCTGTGTACTCTCTAGTGTGACGTACTGGACCATACCCACTCCCTCACACTCCTGTGTGCTCTCTAGTGTGACGTACTGGACCATACCCACTCCCTCACACTCCTGTGTACTCTCTAGTGTGACGTAGTGTACCATACCCACTCCCTCACACTCCTGTGTACTCTCTAGTGTGACGTACTGGACCATACCCACTCCCTCACACTCCTGTGTACTCTCTAGTGTGACGTAGTGTACCATACCCACTCCCTCACACTCCTGTGTACTCTCTAGTGTGACGTACTGGACCATACCCACTCCCTCACACTCCTGTGTGCTCTCTAGTGTGACGTACTGGACCATACCCACTCCCTCACACTCCTGTGTACTCTCTAGTGTGACGTAGTGTACCATACCCACTCCCTCACACTCCTGTGTACTCTCTAGTGTGACGTACTGGACCATACCCACTCCCTCACACTCCTGTGTACTCTCTAGTGTGACGTACTGTACCATACCCACTCCCTCACACTCCTGTGTACTCTCTAGTGTGACGTAGTGTACCATACCCACTCCCTCACACTCCTGTGTACTCTCTAGTGTGACGTACTGGACCATACCCACTCCCTCACACTCCTGTGTGCTCTCTACGGTGACGTACTGGACCATACCCACTCCATCACACTCCTGTGTACTCTCTAGTGTGACGTAGTGTACCATACCCACTCCCTCACACTCCTGTGTACTCTCTAGTGTGACGTACTGGACCATACCCACTCCCTCACACTCCTGTGTACTCTCTAGTGTGACGTACTGTACCATACCCACTCCCTCACACTCCTGTGTACTCTCTAGTGTGACGTAGTGTACCATACCCACTCCCTCACACTCCTGTGTACTCTCTAGTGTGACGTACTGGACCATACCCACTCCCTCACACTCCTGTGTACTCTCTAGTGTGACGTAGTGTACCATACCCACTCCCTCACACTCCTGTATACTGATTTTAATTTGTCGTTATCCACCCAACAGCGGCCATGTGGAATATAACACTACACTGTCACCCAACAGTGGCCATGTGGTATATGACACTACACTGTCACCCAACAGTGGCCATGTGGTATATAACACTACACTGTCACCCAACAGTGGCCATGTGGAATATAACACTACACTGTCACCCCAACAGCGGCCATGTGGAATATAACACTACACTGTCACCCAACAGTGGCCATGTGGTATATAACACTATACTGTCACCCAACAGTGGCCATGTGGAATATAACACTACACTGTCACCCAACAGCGGCCATGTGGAATATAACACTACACTGTCACCCAACAGTGGCCATGTGGTATATAACACTATACTGTCACCCAACAGTGGCCATGTGGAATATAACACTACACTGTCACCCAACAGTGGCCATGTGGAATATAACACTACACTGTCACCCAACAGTGGCCATGTGGTATATAACACTACACTGTCACCCAACAGTGGCCATGTGGAATATAACACTACACTGTCACCCAACAGTGGCCATGTGGAATATAACACTACACTGTCACCCAACAGTGGCCATGTGGTATATAACACTATACTGTCACCCAACAGTGGCCATGTGGAATATAACACTACACTGTCACCCAACAGTGGCCATGTGGAATATAACACTACACTGTCACCCAACAGTGGCCATGTGGAATATAACACTACACTGTCACCCAACAGTGGCCATGTGGAATATAACACTACACTGTCACCCAACAGTGGCCATGTGGTATATAACACTACACTGTCACCCAACAGTGGCCATGTGGAATATAACACTACACTGTCACCCAACAGTGGCCATGTGGTATATAACACTACACTGTCACCCAACAGTGGCCATGTGGAATATAACACTACACTGTCACCCAACAGCGGCCATGTGGTATATAACACTACACTGTCACCCAACAGCGGCCATGTGGTATATACTGCCGCAATGTTTGAGAGTGTAATGCTGTTCACAAGCATCC